AATTATTAGGTTAGGGTGTTTTGTGTTATTTCACACGTCATTAAAGGTTAGAGGGTTATATGGAGTTATTTTTTGGTGTTGAGAATAGGTATTGAGAGAAAGTGTTAAATAAGATTTTGATCCGTAGAAAAATATTCTAAATCCGACATAATTATATATGAACCTCTGGTAAAATAACGGGGATCTTGGTAATGGATAAATTGGAAAAGACATTGGACATATTCGAGGATATGCAAAAGAAATTTTTCTTGCACTCGAGTGATATGATCCAAAGAAGTTATATTGTAACATAGTTTGGATGAATGCGAAAATTGTGTTGCAGTTGGAATTGGTTCCAAAACCAACGAGGAGATAAGATGGATTCAACTATGTTTTAGGACAAGATTTATGTGTAAAAAGATTCGATCGGAAGAATTGATATCCAAAAGCACTATTTACCCCACTTGAAAAAAAAGTATACAGAAAAATTTATATTCGAAGATATGCAAAAAGTAAAACGGTTTTGATAGGAATGAGTTGTATATGTAATTTCTTTTATAATTTTTTGTACAATGGCCGAAATATTATTCCCTTTGTAATTTTCTTTGTTTATAATCTGATCTTTAAGAGAATTATGCTTATATGCTTTTGTTACACTTTCCAATCAATTACTCAAGTTTAACTGTTGAAAGATATCTAAGTGTCTAATTTACATTATTAAGCTTCGAAACAATTTTAATAACAGCATTGAACAATCAACTACCTCGTCATAATATATATATTAAAGAAAACAATTTAATCGAAAAACAATTTAATCGGAAATAGATTCCCAAAACTACTTGTATATTAACTATGCAACTCTATCTACCATCAAATAGATTTTGACTTAAGAGATTAAAATAGAATATACATCCTGAAGTAAAAAATTATGATAATTCCAGTAGTAGGTCTTTGAAGTACATTCTAAAATTCTTGTCAAATCTATTTTGACTTTTTATGAATTTGATATTTGTTAAAATAATAATAATTTATTATAAACCAAAGGTATACATTACAAACGTAGACCAAACCCTATAAAAAGACATGGCTAAAGTCGTCACTTCTCAAACGAGCTGCTTCAATCTCTTTATACCAACCCACAAAGGCAAGACTCATTTTCAAACAAAGTTGAACAGAGAGCCATCCAATGGCAAAACCGGAATTTCTTCAAACCGGGACATTTAAACGGAACAAATTATCTCAGCGAGTAGAGGGCTTTTCTGGAACTTGTTCCTCAGCTGACCACAAGCATAACTTGCATCAAGCCCTCTTGTTTGCCTCACAGTTGTTGTTATCTTACGCGATCCCAACGCAGCTGCAAACGCTAGGACCTGCACAATGGTTAATAAAAGAGAGTAGAGACTTACCGTGGCCAAAAAATCTGAAACTTTTGCAAATGATTAATTTTAGGGTGGGCATAAGAACAAACCAAACTTTAGTTTAAACGAACGTAACAATACTTTTATACCGAACAAACTGTAATATGTGTTGTTATCAATGTTACAATGTAGCCAAAAAAAAAAAGATATATGTGTTGTTATCATTGTTGACCGTCGAGTGGACTTGGTAATGGCCAACCAATTCGACATACATTTTAAAGGACATGGTATAATATAATATACGTCTCGAGACATGAGTAAATTTCTTGGTTTATTAAGAAGAGCCAAGCAATGTCTTTTTCTTTTGGGGGTAAATTATTATTATGATTAAACTTTAACCAGAACGTTTACAAAAGGATGAGTTATTTACCGAAGAGTAGGGGTGGAATTATTATCCGGGATCCGAGATCCGATTCGGTATCCGTTCGGTCCGCTCCGAAAATTATGATATCCGGGGAGTCCGGATCCGGATAAAGATAGTAAAATCTAGGATCCGTGAAAAGAGGATCCGGATCCGGACGCATTAAATATATCAAAAACATATATCTTTTACATATATTAAGCTATTTTTATCTTAAATATATATAAAATTTAACTTTAGTCTTTTTTATAATAGATATAATATTTACTTCTAAAAATATCATGCAAATTTTAATTAATAAATTTTGAAAACTGTTTTTTTTTAATATTTTTAAATTATTTTTTTATTATTTTCGGATCCGGATTCGGATATCCGGCGGATATCCTGATTTTTAGTCGGATATTTGAAGTCCGGATATCCGGAGCCACGGATCCGGATCCGGATACTTTAAACACGGATCCAGATATCCTGAAAAAATCCGAATATCCGGATCCGTCCCAGCCTTACCGCAGAGCAATAACAAAAGATGGAGTCCAAAAGATGATGGTAAAGGTATATTCACCAGTGTATATTATGGTAAAGCCAAGCAATGTCCCATTTATTGGTGTTTGACCCAAAAAAACAAAAAAAGCTTTCAAGTTACAAACATAGACCAAGACCATTCAAGATTCATGATTAGATCACGAATCGCATTTCTCAACAAATTAAGACCAAGACCATTCAGCATTTTCAGCACTTATAGTTCTATGGAGATATTTCATATTTTGGTTCATCTTTAACTTAACCAAAGTGATTCAAGAGAGAGCTACTTCGCATCACCTCTCTGTATCTCTTTCATTTTCTTTTCATTGATGCTAATACCAATATACCAACACAGACTGATTTTATATTACTTTCCAATTTGAAGTAGCAATGGAAAACTCATTATCTTGATGTGAACGAACATATTACATGTTGATACATCACAACTTGCACATGACTGTAATAAATCTATTGAATAACATAAAGATCGACATTACCTTATCGTGAAAGCACGAAGAACACATAACATAAAACATAGGTCCGACGATTGGCGCTATACTTATATATATGTACAAATCTTTAACTAAAAGTCTAAAACCAATACATAAGCCAAAATACAAACACAATCAACAATGCTGCGTAGGTTTGCCTACTGGAACTGCAGAGGTTGTCTATAAAGAACTGAATCAACTTCAACTGTGTAATATCCGAGTTTTGTCTACACAATCAGAAATGGATGTGTGGATCATGAACGCGTACACTGGATGCCTTGACAAATAGCCAACCAAATACCAAAGAGAGTCAAACAAATAGCTGCATCAATAGCAAGAACAATCTGTACTAGACGCCGCCACTTCAATTCAACGCTTTGTGAACCAGAACGAAGTCCTCTACTCGGTACATACTCCTTCTGCAACGACGTTGCTGCTGCAGACGAATCATCACACCGCTCGGTTCTATTAGCTCTATCATCAGATTTCCTGTGTTCTTCAAGCTCAATACCTCTAAGTGAAATCACATGATCTTTCCCTTTCTTCTTCTCTTGCTTGCTTGACCTCCCTAAAAGTGGTGCTTTCGTGGAATTCGCAGCTTCGCTTTGTTCACCGAGATTGTTATTATTAGTCTTCAAATCGTTGTTAGCATCCTCAGCAACACGCTCAAGCGAAGCAATGAGTCTAGAAACAACAGGTACAAGCTGGTCATCAACATTAATAGAACCAATCATAGCAGTAAAGCTTCCTCTGGAATTTTTCCTCGCAGCTTTCTTAAACTCGTCTCTTAGATGCTCAAGGAACTTAAGAACGCTAGATCTACCTAAAACCTTATCAACAATGGCGAAATACACAAACCCATCTCCGATTAGAAACCCAAAAGTCCTCTTACCTAAAGTTTCAAAGTACCAGCTGTGGAAAGGTGGAGTCTTTTCAAGACACAAGGACGCGAGACTCTCGTTGGTTTGGTCTCCACCGTTGTAAGAGTAAAGAATCTGATTGTCTCTGGAGACACAACAGTAGTGAACTGTGTTCTTGATTAAACCCATTTTTCTTGTTCTGTTTTTCAAGAGATCAAGTTGAGGCAGAAGAGGAAAGAGGAGAAGTCTGTGATTAGGGCA